CTGCCTCTCATCCCCATTTTACTGAGTCTGAGCTCTGAAAAGTTAAGGGACTTGTCCATTTCCATATAGCCCTGAAGTGGTAAGCTAGGATTCAAACCCAGATCTTACTCTAGTTCCACTGATCTTTCCTTGACACATGATGGCAATTCAGAAAATGGCATGTGACTCTCCAGCTGGTCCATATCATAATCATTTACTTCTCCGGGACCCCTGAGGGGATGGGGAAGAGAACACTCCTCTGTAAGCAGGGGCTTCGTTGCCCCCAAACAGCCGCCTCTCCTTTTATGCCTTGATCCCTGGCAGGGTTAGTTTTTGGTATTTTTCTGTTTGTTTGCCTGATCCCTGGGCTCCTCTTGCAGCCTTTGAAGACAACAGCTTTGGCTGTAACTGGTTATCTGTTCTCATTCCTTAGTCTTTCAGAGACATGGCGGGTGGGCTAAGAAGGATAAAGCAGGCGGGCAAGAGACAAACAGAGGATGGATAGGAGCAACAGCTGACTGGTCTCAGAGAACCATGAGGCATATACTCAGCCTGGGAGACTGAAGGGACATTACCAAGATGGCCCTTTGCTCTGGAGGGAGGAGGAGCAGGGACTTGAGATACTGGGGTCTAGTCCCAGATCTACTAATGTGACTTTGAACAAGTTACTGATCTGCTTTAAGCCTCCATTTTCTCCTTTGTAAAATGAAAGGGTTGGTACTTCTAGGGCTGTATCCCAAAGAAATCATAAAAATGGGAAAAAGACCCACATGTACAAAAATATCTATAGCAGCTCTTTTTGTGGTGGCCAAGAATCAGAAATTGAGAGGATACCCATCAATTGGGGAATGGCTGAACAAGTTGTGGTATATGAATGTAATGGAATACTGTTGTGCTACAAGAAATGATGAGCAAGCAGACTTCAGAAAAACCTGGAAGGACTTGCATGAACTGATGCTGAGTGAAGTGAGCAGAACCAGGAGAATATTGTACACAGTAACAGCCACGTTGTGCAGTGACTAACTTTGATAGACTTAGCTCTTCTCAGCAATGCAAGGATCTAAGACATTTTCAAAAGACTCACAATGGAAAATGCTATCCACATCCAGAGAAAGAACTATGGAGTCTGAATGCAGATTGAAGCATGCTATTTGCTCTTTCTTTTTTGTGTTTCTTCTTTCTCACAGTTCCTTCTCTTGGTTCTAATTTTCTTTACAACATGACCAATGTGAAAATATGTTTAATAAAAATGTATACGTAGAGCCTATATCAGATTACATGCTGTCTTGGGGAGAGAGGCGAAGAAAATTTAAAACTCAAAAGCTTATGGAGAGGGCAGCTAGGTGGCGCAGTGGATATAGCACCAGCCCTGGAGTCAAAAGGACCTGAGTTCAAATCTGGCCTCAGACATATAACACTTACTAGCTGTGTGACCCTGGGCAAGTCACTTACCCCATTGTCTAGCCAAAAAAAAAAAAAAAGTTTATGGAAGTGAATGTTGAAAACTAAAAATAAATCAATAATAATAATAAAAAAAACTAAAAGGTTGGATCAGTTGACCCCTAAGGGCCATTCCAGCTATGCCATTCTAATTTTCATGTTCTAACATCCTTTTCAGCTCTGATATTCCATGTCCTATGATTCCCATATCCATCTTGGAAAAGGGGGTATTGTAGCTTACATTCCCCCTGCCCCAATTGCTAGTGCTATCCCCCTAAATTGTTTTGTATTTAACTTTGTATTTATTTTCTCTACATATGTATATATATATATATATGCACGCACACATATACTTTGTATACATTTATATATGCATTTCTCTCCCATTAGAAGGTAATGTCCTTGTGAATAGGGATCTTTGTATCCCCCTGTGCCTAGCACAGTGCCTAGCTCTTAGCAAATGTTTGTTGGATTGGATTGTTTACTGTGCATGAAGTCCCATGGTTGGTGCTGGTAATACAGAAATGGATAAAATCCAGTCCCTACCTTCGTGGAGTTTATAATTTAGCTGGGGAGAAAAGACATACACATGAAAAAATAACAATAACAACAACAAATTGAGCAATCTTTGCTAAGTGTCCAATGAGGAGTAGACAGCAAGTACAGTAATGAGCTGGAGTAATCAGGGAAGGCTCCATGAAGGAGAGATTTGAACAAGGCCTGGAAGAATACACAAAATCTGGAGAGGTGGAGTAGGAGAGGACTCAGGGGACATTTGGATAAAACCTTGGGGGTAACAAAGGAGGTATTGGAGGAACAGTTAGGATAGCCCTTGGGCTTAAGTATGGGACACATAGTAGGGAGTGGCATGAAATAAGGTACTTTGGGGCCAGATGATGGAGTCCTTGAAATCTAGGACCTCGTGGGTTATCTGGAGTAAATGGGTTTCCCTCTTCAACTTCTCTGACAGTTCTAGCTTCAGTAGGAATCATAGAAGGTGTATGACCAGGGCTGAGATATGATCAAAGTACTGTGTTAGGAAGATTAAGCTGGCATCAGTGTATAGGATAGGCTGGAAGCAGGAAGACCAGTTTGGGCTAGTTGTTAGGATTATAATTATTATGGGGGGGGATGATTGGAGCTAAGATCTTCTCTTTGTCAGGGCAGCTCTTTACATATCTTTCTGTCATGGCTTAATTACACTCTGGGGGCTTAAAGTAGGATAGTGCTGGAAGAGATTTCCTAGGACCCAGACAACCTCCCATCACCCCTGATGACAAGTTCTTTGGGGAAGGGAGGGAGATATTGATGATTAGGAAAGGAAAGCTGGAAAGAGTCCTGGGCATGGAGTTGGAGGACCCGGGTTCCATTTTTTGTTCCCACTACTAATTTGCTGGGTGATATGGAGCAAGTCAATTAATGTGTCTGGGCTTCTAGTCTCAGCTCTTCTGTTAATCCCCTATCTCTCATCTGTAAAATGGAGAGACTCATCTCTTCTGACTACTTCAGAGGGTTGTAAGGATAAAACATTGCCACAGACTGAAAGGGGTCTGAAAACTATATAAATAGTTATATAAATAATATATAAATGCAAAGAATTGTAATTAACATTATTATTCCTGGAACAGTTCTTAGCGGGTGTGTGTGTGGAGGGGGGAATCTCTTCCACATTTATTTCTGGCTCTTTCAGAGAGCCAGCAACTCTCTGATCTTTTTTCTCTGACAAGATTCATCATCTCCCTTTCCTCTAAGGTCCTCCCAGGTCCTCTTACCCCAAGGTTATAAATTTAAAGCTATATGGGACTTTAGATATCATCTAGTCTACCCCCTTTGTTTTACAGCTGAGGAAACTGAGGATCAGAGAAGATGTAATTTTTTCAGGGTCACTCATGAAGCAAATGGCAGAGCTGGGATTCAAAGCCATACCTCTGACTTCAAATCCAGTAATTTTTCCATTGCACTTGAATGCTCCAAGAGTCCTGGAATTTCTCATCTGATTAGTCAATCAATTATTTAAGTGATTACTATATGTCAGGTACTATATTAGGCATTAGGAGTACAAGTACTCAGAATTTAACTATCCTTATTTGCAATGAACTTAATTCTAAAGGGAGCAGACAATAATAAATATATATAGTACACACAGCAATAAATTTATACAGCAACAATAAATACATAGAGCATAATATAAAGTAAATAAATACAAATATACATACACAAAGTAGTTAAATACAACATATTTTGGGAGGTAGGATACAAACAATTGAGGGTATTAGGAAAGACTTCATTTAGAAGACACGACCTGAGCTTAATATTAAAGATGAAGAGGCACTGGATGAGATCGAGGTAAGAAGGGACTGTATTCCAGACTTGTGGAGATAGCTGGGGCAAAGAGGTGGAGTTAGGAGATGGAGGACTGCATGTGAGTGAGGGACAAAGAAGGTCAGTTTGTCTGGATGGCAGAGTTTGGGAGGAGGAATACTGTCCAACGAGGCTGGAAGGATAGAATGGGGCCATGTTGCTCGGTAGATAAAAGCTAAACAGTTGGTCCCACCAACACCTTCCCCCACCCCTAACATGAAAGACAAGCCTTTTGGGAGACAGGAATCTTCCCCTCTTCTTTTTCTTTCGGGAAGCCTGAAATTCTGTAAAGGCAATTTCACCACAAGCCATGGAAAGATCCAACCATAGGATCCCAAAGACTGTGACTTTTATAACTCCCAATAGGTATGTCCCTCTTCGAATAATAGTTTTCCATAAGATATATTGTAGTGTTCTGATGCCTCTTCGAAGCGAGATGACCCTGGGTTCTAGAAGGACATGCTGGTGGACTTTCCTAGGACAGTTATCGGACCTAAGCTAAGTTCCTAGGTGTTTTTTTTTTTCTTCTCTCCATTCATTCATTCATTTTAAAGCCTAAAGAACTCCCGTAGACGGAAGGCTTGGAGGGATTGCGGTCTAGTACCAGCGACATCCCCTATCCTGAAGGTCTCTTAAAGTTACAAAGCATTCCGCCTTTACTATTTCATTTGATATTCAACAACCACCAAGTGAAGAAAGTATTAGTTCCATTTTACAGATAAGAAAACTGAGGCTCAGAGAGACGTGACTTGCTCGCAGCGTAAGACGACGCAGTGTCAGAGCCGGGACTTGAACCCAGATCTCCGAACTCTAGGTCCAGGTGTATCTGGCGACCGCAACACCTGGCCACTCCTAAGTGGCCTAAGTCCTAAGAGGTTCTTCAGTCCGTAGGGTTCCTTGGGGATCCCTCTGGGGCAGATGAAGAACTCTGGCTCCGGGGCCCTTCTCGCCGGGGACCTGCTGCCCCTGGAGTGGGCGGAGGGAAGGAGCGACGAGGGGGCGGGGAGGTTCGGCTGGGAGAGCAGCCGGGGCCGCCCCACTGCAGACCACTCCCCCCCGCGGACCCTCCCCCTGGCCATAAAGCCGCAGTCCCAGTTTCGGCCCCACTCCCGCTGCTGGCCCCGCTCTCAGTCGTCCCCGGGTCCAGTTCTGCCGGGCGATGGCGGCTCTCGGGGCGCTGGCCACGAAGTTGTGGTGCATCCGGCGTCTGCTGGTGCTGGTGGCCACTCCGCTGGTGCTGCTGCCCATCCCCTTCAGCCTCCCGCCCCAGGTAACGCCGGTCCCCAAGCCCAGCTCCAGCCCGGGGCGCCAGAGCCTGCGTCCGTCCTATCTGTCACCCACACAGGTGACCCAACTTGCTTGTCCCCTTCCCCGCGGGCAGCCTAGCCCCCGGCCCAGAGCGAGAGCGCCTGATCCGAGGGGGAGCCGCCCCTCTACTCCCCACGTTCTCTCTTGTCCTCCTGCTCAGGGTGTCCTCCCCAGTCTTCCCCCTTCCCGGTTCCTGCCCTCCCCATTCGGGAATCCCAGGAGTAACCAGCTTCTGCGGGAGAACGCATTACCTCTTTCCCTTTCTCTTCAGTGATTTCCCAGTGCTCCCTGTCTGTCCCTATCTCTCTGTCTGCTTGACATACATTTATTTCCTCAGGTCTCTTATCAGGCTCTGTCGTCTCCGCACCCAAAGAGGCTTTTGGATCTGGGTTAATTTTATAAAGGTTTGAGGGAATCCAGGAACCTTGTTGGGAGGTGAGAGTTCGGGGCTGTGGAAGAAATTTTCTGCTGTGAACAGTTCTTCTGGGCAGATTTTCTTCGATGGAAAGAGCATTGGATTGATTGGAAGCCAAAAAACCTGGGTTCTAGTCCCAGCTCTGCCTCTAATTAGTTGTATGACCTTGGACAGTCACTTCCCCTCCCTGGGCCTCAGTTTCCCCATTTATAAAATGAGACTGTTGAACTAAATAATCTCTGAAGACTTTTACAGCTCTGATATAATTTGATTTCAAATCCCTTTCCTGTGCCCTGCCCACCCAGCTCCCACCTGCTGTGGGGAAATTACTCTCCCTATTACTCTCAATGTCATATCATATGCTATTATTGCTTCTACTTGATAGGTCACTTCACCTTCAGTTTCCCTTGCCCTCAGAAGAAATAACCCCCTGTTCACACTATTTTCCAGGGGTTCCTCTCACTCTCTTCCATCAGTACTCCACCCCCCCCACCCCAGTGCCATAGGATTCACCCATCTATGCCTTCTTGGGGATGGAGTACCTGTCTTCCCACATGTCTCCTAAGTCAACACTGTATTTAGACATCTTTGGACTTAAAGTCAGAAACCACATCCCCCTTATCTTCTGACTCCCACTTCCATCTTCTTGGTCCTCCTAACTTCCCTGGAACAGAATTATTTGGATCCCAAAGGGGATAGATTGACTCCCAGAGGTATGGCTTAAAGACCATTCTTTGGGGATGGGAAGGGGGCTCTTGCTCGTCTGGGGAGAGTCTCAAGTGGATTCAGGAGAGCCTCAGCAGAAGAAATTTCCCTTTCACTATCTTGGGGGCTTGGAATGATACATAAAGCAAAAATGGGTAGACCTTATAAGACATCAGCATTTTAACAGGGGCTTGTCTCTCATACTCACTAGCTGTGAGCAAATCTGAGCCTCAGTTTCCTTATCTGTAAAATGGTCATAATAATATTTGCACAGAGAAAGCGCTCAGAGTCAAGAAGACCAGTTCAAAGACCCACATCTAGGGGGCAGCTAGGTGGCACAGTAGATAGAGCACTGGCCCTGAAGTCAGGAGGACCTGAGTTCAAATCCAGCCTCAGATCAAACACTTGACACTTACTAGCTGTGTGACCCTGGGCAAGTCACTTAACCCCAATTGCCTTAAAAAAACAAACAAACAAAGGAAGACCCACATCTGACACTTTCTTTACAATTGTCCCTAGACAAGTTGTTTCATCTCTCCATGTTCCAGGCAGCCAAGAGTATAAATTGCAGAAGAGTTGCTAATCTGTATTGGTGGAGGGAGTTCAGCAGCCAGGAACCCTCTGACACCAGAGAAATGACAGGTCTGGATCCCTGCTGCACACCACCCCCCAGGACTCTAACAGTTTACCTTACAAACTGTTATGAAGGAAGCACTTCATAAAATACAAAGAACTGGGGCAGCTAGGTGGTGCAGTGGTTAGAGCACTGGCTCTGGAGTCAGGAGAACCTGAGTTCAAATGTGGCCTCAGACACAGAACACTTACTAGCTGTGTGACGCTGGGCAAGTCACTTAACCCCATTGCCTAGCCAAAAATAAATAAAATAGGAAGAACTACGCAAAGGTGATTTAACATTTATCTCTGAGAAGCCGTAAACACCATTTAGGTAGATAAGCTGTGTCCACTCACACTTCTTGCTTCAATTCCTCGCGGGGAAGAAAAGCAACTATTTTGAGTTCCAGAACCTTTTATTTTCTCCACTAATGAACAGTGCAATTGGAAGAAAAAAAGTAGGCAGAATATTCAGAAAGGACTGATATAATGTGTCTCAGGAATTTGCAGTACAAATAATCAATATATGCATTTTTTTTAGATTTTCTTCTTTTTTTTCTCTCCCCTCTCCTCCCCTTCCCTCTCCTCATTTTCTTTATCCTCTACTTTCCTCTTTTATCTCTCCTTTCTTATCCATTCTTCTTTTCTTTCTTCTTTTCTCTCATTTCTCTCTTTCCTCCTCTTTTCTATTCTTCTCTCCTATTCTCCTCTATCTTCCTCTCCTCTCACTTCTCTCCCTTTCTTCCTCTCCTCTTTTCTTTTCTTTTCTCCTCCACTCCTCCACCTCTCCTCTTCTCAACTCCTCTCTTCCCTTTCCCCTTTGTCCCCTTCTTTCCCCTGTCTTCTCCTTTCCACCACTCCTCTCTTCCTCTTTCTTTCACTCTTCTTCTCTCTCTTCCTTTCTCTTCTCTCTCATCCTTTCCTCTCACTTCTCTCTCTTTCTTCCACTCCTCCTTTTTTTCTTCTCTCCCTGTCCTACACCTCTCTTCTTCTCAACTCCTCTCTTCCCTTCTTCATCCCCCTTTGTCCCCTCTCTTCTCCTCTCCTCCATTCCTCTCTTCCTCATCTTTTCCTCTTTCCTCCACTTCTTTCTCTCTCTTACTCTCTCCTTATCTCTCCTTCTCTGATCTCTTCTCCTTTCCTCTTCTCTTCCTCTTTCTGTTTCTCCTCTCTTTCACCTCTCTTCTCTTCTGATCTCTTCTCTCTTTTCTCTCCCTCTTCACTACTCCTATTCTCCCTCATTTTTCTCCTTTCATCCTCTCTTATCTTTTATCCTCTCCTCACTATCCTTCCTTCCCTCCTCTCTTCTCTCTTTTTTCCCCTCTCTTCCCTCTTCTCCCCTCTACCTTCCACTTTCTCCCCTTTCTCCTCCTTTCTTACCTCTCTCTTTTCCTCCCTACTTTTCTATTCTTCTCCTTTCCATTCCTCCTCTCCCCTCCTGTACTCCTCTCCTCTACCCTTTCCTCTTTCCTCCATTCTTCTTTTACTCTCTCTTCCTCTCATTTCTTCTCTTTACTCTCTCACTTCTTTTTCCTCTCCCTTCACTGTTTCAACCCAATCCTATCAAAGTAGTGCTTCTCATTCTAAAGTTCTGAAGGAAGGAAGCATTAAGCACTATTTTAAAATCCTCATTTTTCAGGCAAGAGAAGAAACCTGGAGAGGAGTTTGTCTTCTCTCAGGCTAAGACACACAGTGTATACAGAATTTAAGAAACAAATTGGCTCTGTCTGAAAGGAGAGAATTACTTGAGGTCAGAGACTATACCTTAATATTATTCAACATCAATTTCAAAAATATCCATTGAGAACACACTACCCAGAGTATCTAGGCAGCTAGGTGGTGTAGTGGATAGAGTACCAGGCTTGGAGACAGGAAGACTCATCTTCCTGAGTTCAAATCCGGCCTCAGACATTGTTTGCCTCAGTTTCTTCGTCTGTAAAATGATCTGGAGAAGGAAATGGCAAACCACTCCATTATTTTTACCAAGAAAGTCCCAAATGGTATCACAGAGAGTCAGACATGATTGAATAACAACTCAACAACAATGACAACAACAACAAATACAGAGTATTCTAGAAGTCTTGGCACAGTTTTATTAAAGCCTAAAACTGCACCAAAACCTTGGTATACAAGCACTGGGCAAAGTTCTACAAGAGATACAAGATATGCTGTATTTCCTGCCTTTGAGGAACTCATAGGCATTATTTTTACTTGGGGGAGGGAGGTGTGGCAAGAAGGGATAGATCATTGTGTGTGTGTGTGTGTGTGTGTGTGTGTGTGTGTATGTGTGTAGTGCTCTGAACCTGTCATTACATGGCTGTGTAGGTAACTCCTCTGTACCTTATAATCCTAGAGAGCTGTCCCAGGCACTGAAAGTTTAAGTGACTTGCTCGTGGTCACACAGCTAGTATGTTTCAGAGGTAGGATGTGAACTCAATTTACCCCCAAGTCAAGGCCTTCTATCTGCCATCACACACACTTATATCAACAAATCAAATAGAAATTAGACCATGATAAACAGGTAAGCGGAATATAAAGTGCTATTAGTTCAAAGGAGAGACAGATCCCTTCTGGTTTGGGGCACCTGGAAAGGTTGAAATGTTACTTGCAGTGTCTAAAAGGAAAAGTGAGTCAAGTAAGTGTTTCTTGAAGGCCTATTCTACGTGTAGTCTTGTGCAAGGCTAAATTGTGGGCAGTATAGAGAAAGAGAAGACAGTCAATTTTCTCAAGGTATCTACATTCTAGGTGGCGAGACAAGATAGATAGTTGGGAAATAGCAAAATATTCTAGATTGGATACAACCAATTAAATTATAAAGCACACACTCCAAGTGCAGTGAAGGGAGAGGGAGAAAAATGGGAGCTGGGATGGTCAGAAAAGCTTCATGAAGAAGGTGGTAGCCATTGGATCCTCTTCATAGTTGCCAAATATGATTTCCTTGAGTGCAGACTTGACTATGTCAATCTCCTGCTCATTAGACTTCAGTACCTCTCTATTGCTTTGGAAAAGAAGCGTCGTATAAACTTCTCTGTTTGGCTTCTAAAGCACTTTACAGTCTGGCCAGAATCTACCTTTTCAGCCACAATACTTTCCCTCACTCTACAATCCAACCAAACTGACCTTTCTGTTCTTCACACCTAACACTACATCTCTCATCTCCATGCCTTTGCACTGGTAGTCCCCCATGCCTGGAATGCACTCCTTCTTTCCCTCTACTTCATAGAATCCTT